TGCGCTCTTGGGTGGGCAATGTCTTAAGGCAATGTATTTGGTAATGCAGCCAAATGGGGAAATGAAACTCTTTGAGTTTGTGATTATTTTTGGATGCTTACTTTTGGTTTTGGCACAATTCCCATCCTTTCACTCTCTACGATACATCAACTCATTTTCTCTCCTCCTCTGCCTTCTCTATAGTGCTTCCGCCGCAGCTGCATCGATCTACATTGGTACTCTTCTTTACTCTTAAAACGTGAGCTAATTCCATAAGATAGATAATCCAGTTTACGGCTTAATTTTTTATTTTTTCATCGAAATAATAAAACTAGTCGGATTAAAAACATTTCAGTTCGTTTTGTTTAAAACATTTCGGGTTTGTTTGATTCAAAGATACACTTAAATTTACACTCCATGATACATATATTGTTATATAGTTAAAAAGTTGAGTTTTCTGTTAAATATTAGGAAAAAGATCAAACGCACCAGAGAAGGACTATACTATAGTTGGTGACCAAGAAACTAAAGTGTTTGGAATCTTTAATGCTATGGCTATTATTGCCACTACATACGGCAACGGCATTATACCCGAAATTCAGGTTTCATTTTGTTTCTATATCTTTGTTTCTTATTTACAAGTAGAAGTGTAGAACACCACTTTATTTGTTTATCAAATTAAAACAAAAGGTCGTTGTTCAGAAGAGTGAAGACAGTCACACAACTACCAATATATATAGAGTATTTGATATACGAATACTATCTTCTTGCAATGCAGGCAACAATATCGGCACCAGTGAAAGGAAAAATGATGAAAGGGTTGTGTATGTGTTACGTTGTAGTGATAGTGACATATTTCACTGTAGCAATCACCGGATATTGGGCATTTGGTAACAAAGCCAATGGATTTATATTCACCAATTTCTTAAATACCGAGACAGGCCATTACTTAGTTCCTACTTGGTTTATTTTTCTCGTCAATCTCTTCACAGTTCTTCAACTTTCGGCTGTTGCTGTGGTATATACACATATATTATTCTTTGTATATTTGTTTCATATATATACATTGTTACTAATTTTGAGTTATGCAGGTATACCTACAGCCTATAAACGATATTTTGGAAAGTGTAATCAGCGATCCAACAAAAAAAGAGTTCTCTATCCGCAATGCCATCCCTCGACTAGTTGTGCGTTCCCTCTTCGTCGTTGCGGCTACAATCGTTGCAGCAATGCTTCCATTTTTTGGAGATGTAAACTCCTTGTTAGGTGCTTTCGGTTTTATACCTCTAGACTTCGTTCTACCTGTAGTGTTCTTCAATTTTACCTTCAAGCCATCTAAAAAAAGTTTCATTTTTTGGATAAACACTGTGATCGCCGTGGTTTTTTCGTGTTTAGGGGTGAGTGCTATGGTAGCGGCAGTTAGACAGATTATAATCGATGCCAATACATATAAATTGTTTGCGGATGTATAAAAGAACATACAAAGCAAAGTGAGAATGTTATTGCTATATATAAGTATAATCCTGCTTCTTCTTTTTTTTATAAATGTTTATGATAAAATAATTAAGAAAGAAGATTCAACTTTTGATAACACATATATACCTTTTACAATGAGTTACATAACAAATTCAAAATATAAAACTCCTTACTTATTTTCATGAAAAGAGGACACATCTCAATATCTCATGGTGTTAAGCAGCAATGTAAAAATGGGCCTGGAATATGAGCATTTGAAACCCAAAGAAAACAATTCCTAGAAACGAAAGCCCAAAAGTTGGGGCTGTACCTAAACCGGATTGGAATCGGTTTGATCGGCTTACCCACACAGAAATATGGTTCAGGTCTCAGGATTTTATTTTAGGCTCGTTTTCAATTTCCAAGCGTGTTTGGTTCGCCTTAAGCGAGCAGACCACATAACCAACCAAATAGGGTTTAAGCTCTTCTAAAATGGCGACGACGTTGAATCGATTCCTGAAGCACAGGTCAGTCTCTACCCTCAACAAGCATCATCAAGGAGTCTTCTCCTTCACTCGCTACGAGAATCATGACTCTCTCCCTTCGAAAATGCCGGCTCTTCGATCAACCACCCGCTCTTTCCTCGATTTTTATCAGGTATGTATTCAGAGAAATTATCAATTTCGATTTTCGGAGGAAACGTTGACTATAATCTGTCGTTATTGTTGTGGCTTTGCGCAGTTCGGGAATAAGAAAGCGATTGAAGATGAGCGTACTAGACTGTAAGCTTCCCTTTATCTAGATTCAATTCCTTTTGGGTTTTGCTCCGATTCAGATTCAGCATTGATTTGCTCTCTGTTTCGAGAGAGAATCGTCTTAATGAGAAGTTAATTAAGTGGAATTTGATGTGATTTAGGGCAGTAATGATGAGATGAATCGGGGATACTTTGCTGATATGAAAGAATTCAAGGAACATGGTGGTAAGGTAATGCTGCAACTTCTTTCACTCTCTAGATTGTTTTCATTAGCTATGGCTTATATCATTTGGGTTCGCTTCTCAGTTACCAATTTTCTTTGTAAACTCAGCTATGCATGATTTAGATACTGTAGCCTGTAGGGATCTTGTATTGGCTTTATGAAGTTTCTAAACTGTCAATTGATGTTTTTGCAGATCGCAGCTGCAAACAAGATATTAATTCCTGCTGCATCAGCCATGAAATTTCCGGTATTAGCAGTGACTTACTCTAATGGACAAAGACTAAACTTGCCTATTACCCCCAACAGCAATGAGGTTGACACAGAGAGTTTGGCTGTTCCTAAAGTATCATTAGTGTGTCTGTCTTTCCGAGCAAGCTCTCAGGTACAGAAAATTCTACCTCGTTTTTGTTATATACTTCCAACGGATTCGAGAATGTTTGCCTTTATGAAGCACTAACGGAAGTGTTGCTTGTTAAGGTTACTAAACAATGGTTGCATGACACAGTGTTCTTTAGTGGGGAATCATTTTGTTGATAAGCTATATATCTAGCTTGTATGGTTGTTGATGCGATGTGGTTGCTTTATCTGACAGGAAATGATCAGCTCGTGGAGCAAACCATTTCTTGAAACATTTGGCAACAGGAAAGATCTTCAGCTGTTTGAGGTACTGATCCTTAAATCGTTTGGGCTTATATCAGATTTTAGAACCTGCAAGAGTGTTTTTTTTCTCCACTCTCTTGAATAAAACTTATTTTCTTGTAATTATAGGTTTCATTTATAGACAAATGGCTGCTGGGCTTGGCCCCCATAAGAAAACTACTTCTCCGGGTCTTGCAAAAACCAAACAATAACGAGAACAGTGTCCTCCAGAGGCAGGCTGTTTACGCATTTGGGGACCATTACAACTTCCGTAAACAAATTAAAGTTCTGAACCTTCTCACTGGGTACACAAGAATCTCCACTTCATCAAGCTAAGAGTGCATAATAGATTCCGTTAACCTTTCTGATCTCTCTATTGCACATACGTGTTCGTGCTTCAGGTATATTCTCCTACTCGACAAATCCGGGAGGATAAGATGGCAAGGTTTTGGAACAGCAACTCCAGAGGAAGTATCTCAACTTCTCTCTTGCACCTCACTTCTCTTGGAAGATCAGTGAGAGGTAACCAAACTGCTCTCTCTCGTAAACCATTTGAAACACAAGACTCCCAATTCTCCTTGGGCCTACAATTATCGGAAAATTCTACAGCATGAGCAGAAAAACAATCAGTGTTAGAAAATATATCAACTTTGCCTTGAATGTTTCATAGTGAACAGGGACAAATGTTTCTTCGAAGCACCATCTTGATATAGTTTAGTGTATGAAAATATATCATCTGAGTGTATTTTGGTTCCATGACATGTCCAGATCGCTGCTTAAACCGGAGACCGTCTCAAAAGACAAGTGCTCCTCCTTGACTCTTATGAAGGATTTCGAAGAATTAATTTTCAGAAGGGCACACAGAAGACAATAAAGTATCTCTTATCTTTCCGTTTTGTAGTTTGATTCGATTTTTGTTATCGGCACCTCCAAAGCAAAAGAGAATCCTTTCTTCCAATTTAGTACTAATAGATGTAATACTCACTCACTCTTCACTTGTTTCTCTTTTAGATATTTGCTTTATTGTACCCATCTGAGAATCAAGTAATCTATTGCTTATACAATTGGAGTTAAAGCGGAAACAAAAGAAAGCCAAACATCTACTAGTTCTTTGTGGAAGCCCGTTTAGTTTAGATTCCTAACAAAGCCGTTGTTGTCGTAGACTTGTGAGTTGTGGTGAATTTTGGATAAATCCGTCAAAGATCAGTCAACGGAGCATTCAATTAACCCTATTACTAAAAAGAAAAGATACATCAGTACTTTCAGACGCGTCATATTGGTGGAGCACAGGCACATTACATCAGTCTGTCTATCTAGTACTCAACATTTTTTTATGCAGCAGACATTAAAAAAGAATTGAACTTGTGAAAATCATAATTACCAAAAATGCAAAATTTAAAAGCACGCCAAAATGACCCAAAACAAAAATGAATAATTTATGCAAATCTTCATTCCATATTTAATTAGATTAATGACCAAAATGTGCAAAACTTTACTACTGTCATCAGAATATTATCAGAACGTTTCAGTTGGCGGCTTTCTCTCTCTCTTTCCCCAGGAAGAGAAAGTTCGAACTCGAGAAATGGCGGTGGATTCTCCTGCTGGAGTTATCATCATCGCCACCGTGCTTTTACATGCTGTGACAACCTTGGTCTGCGGCTCCGACGCGGTTCTCAAGCTGGAGAGATTGATTCCGCCGAACCATGAACTTGGTCTGACTGAGCTCAGGGCTTTTGATTCAGCTCGCCATGGAAGGTTATTGCAGTCTCCTGTCGGTGGAGTTGTTAATTTCCCGGTTGATGGAGCCTCCGATCCGTTTCTCGTTGGGTACTACTACTGCTGTTACCCATTTGCTTTTGCACTTTTTCGATTTCGATTTTCGAATTTTTCTCTTCTTTTTGGTTTCCAAAGAAAAAAATCACACCGTAGTATTGAAATCTCCGGACTTGGATTTGGAAACTTTCCTCCTAACAAAATTGAATTGAAATAGCGAATTTGTTTCTGGGTAGACTGAGTAATGTGATTCGATTGACTCAAATGGAATTATAAATCATGGAACTTTGTTTTGGCTTGTGAAGACTGAGCTCGTTCAAATCTAAGTTAGCAGAATGATGTCTCATCATGTGTTCACTTTCGAATTTAGAAATATTTGACTCTTGTTCCATTCCTATTTATAGAATCTTGCTGTTATTTTCTTTTCATGACAGGCTTTACTACACAAAGGTTAAACTTGGGACACCCCCTAGAGAATTTAATGTTCAAATTGACACTGGAAGTGATGTTTTATGGGTTAGCTGCACTTCCTGCAATGGCTGCCCCAAGACTAGTGAACTCCAAGTCTGTTTCTTTCTCACTTTCCTCAATACTCTTGGATTTATCTTGAGGATTTCTCTAAATGATTACTTGTTTTCCCTCTCTTTTGTGGGTTTTTGGATTTCCAGATTCAACTAAGTTTCTTTGATCCTGGAGTGTCATCCTCGGCTTCATTAGTTTCATGTTCAGACCGGAGATGTTACTCAAATTTCCAGACAGAGTCGGGCTGTTCTCCCAACAATCTTTGTTCCTATTCGTTTAAGTATGGTGATGGAAGTGGCACTTCTGGTTTCTACATCTCAGATTTCATGTCCTTTGATACTGTTATTACCAGTACCTTGGCTATAAATTCCTCTGCTCCCTTTGTCTTCGGGTAAGCGAACAGCAAAATTATTATGTGTTTATATATATATATATATATATCTATATACATGTCTTATCTTGCATTTTTAATCCTCTTTCGACAATGATGATTTCCTTAGAGAGTATGGTGCATTGCCATCTCTTAATTTAATTGATGACTGCATCTTCGGGGAGAGAAAATATTGGCCAAACGAGAAACAATATTTCTGTATATTCAAGTAACTTCTACTCAGGAAGTACAATATGATCTAACTTCCAAATCATCTTTTCTGTACTGTTTCAACTTTCTAAATATGTGATGCTTGTCTTTAATATTGACTTACAGGTGTAGCAATTTACAAACCGGTGATTTACAGAGGCCTAGAAGAGCAGTAGATGGCATCTTTGGGTTAGGACAAGGGAGTTTATCTGTAATTTCACAGCTTGCTGTGCAAGGACTTGCGCCACGAGTATTCTCGCACTGTCTGAAGGGAGATAAAAGCGGTGGAGGTATAATGGTTCTAGGTCAAATTAAGAGGCCAGATACCGTCTATACCCCTCTTGTTCCATCACAGTGAGTTCTCAATCTTTCTACTATACATTTAAAGTCTTAAACTCTTATCATATTACGTAAAGAAAAGCACCGGTAGATCTTGGGGGTACTTAACATCGTGATGAATTAGACTTCAATGCTAGGGTAGAATTCCCAGAATTTGTTTGTTTAAGACAAGGAGGAAAATCCAGGGTTTAACTGATGATAATGAAAGTCATTACACAGATATAAATGCGAGAGTTGTTACAATATTTGCTATCTCATTCTGCTGTAGGAACCATATGATCCAGAAGTAGACATTTTGTAGCTGACCCTATGGAAATAAAACGCAGTTAGTTTATCTTGGGTTAGGAAAACTAAAAATATATACACCCACGTCTTGATTCAGATAATATGCTGCAAAAAAATATTTCAGGCCACATTATAATGTGAACCTGCAGAGCATTGCTGTGAACGGTCAGATATTACCGATTGATCCATCTGTTTTCACAATAGCCACTGGTGATGGAACGATAATTGATACGGGGACGACTCTTGCTTATCTTCCCGACGAAGCTTATAGTCCATTCATCCAAGCTGTGAGTGTTTTTTCTTCCTTAGTTCACCTTCAGGTTTTCCTTCCAATCTCCAAACCGTGTATGCCATATTCAGTCTAGTTTTTGCCATTGTTGAAGTATCTGTCCTCAAATGTTACATTTTTGGAATAAGATTACAGCTCAATGTTGACGATATATGTTATTAGACCTTACAAGCAAGAAGAATAATAAACCGTTCAACCTGCAGATTGCAAATGCTGTTTCGCAGTACGGACGTCCCATTACTTATGAGAGTTACCAGTGCTTTGAAATCACAGCTGGGTAAGATTCCTCTCATGTGTAAGCATATATAAAAAGCTGTTATCTCTCATGCTTAAGTGCTAAAAAGATTTCCATGTTGCAGTGACGTTGATGTCTTTCCCGAAGTTAGTTTGAGCTTTGCTGGTGGTGCATCAATGGTCTTAAGACCCCATGCGTATCTTCAGATTTTTTCTAGTGTAAGCATATTCAGAGCAGTGGTAAAGACTAAAGACTATTTTTCTAGAAACTTTTGATATGAATTTCTTTTGGTATCGTCAGTCAGGAAGTTCAATATGGTGCATTGGTTTCCAGAGAATGTCACATCGTCGCATAACAATTCTTGGCGGTAAATACTCGTTGTTCGTAACTCAATCAAGTGAAACTGTAAGTTTTGTAACAGTGCAACTATTTTCTCAATGGGTGATTGATTTGCAGATTTGGTTCTTAAAGACAAAGTGGTCGTCTACGATCTTGTTCGCCAGCGTATTGGATGGGCAGAATACGACTGTGAGTGTTTTTTCTATTTTACCGTAAAGCAATCAACGGTAAATGGTTTATATATCCCAGCCAGCCCACATTGGAGTACAATGCAGATAGCAGATAATGAAATTGCATTGCAGGTTCTCTGGAGGTGAACGTTTCAGCGTCAAGAGGAGGAAGAAGCAAAGACGTTATAAACACAGGACAATGGAGAGAGAGCGGTTCAGAGAGTTTCAATAGAAGTTATTATTACTTGTTACAACAACTAGTCTTCCTCCTCCATCTTTTTGCTCGCTTTTTGTAGCTTCTAGCATTCACTCCACCACCTATTATGGTTGGACTTTTGTAAGCTTATTATTGTAATTTAATCACACTAATTAATTCTTACTTACCACCCACCACTTCTCTCGTTTCTCTGTTTAATCAACTACTAATTAATACTAGGCCACCGACGAATTAGCACAATTTTACATGTCGGTGTAAAGCAACAAACATACCCAAAAAAATTGAAACTATAATCGATTTAACGTGAACAATCAATCAGATTCATAATAATTGATTGACTTGAGAGAGAAGATGACACAACGAAAACATTAATTTCACGTGGGAGTGAATGTGCAAGGCTGTGAGAGAGTGGGGAACATTATTTATTATACACGCCTTTAAATATCAGTCTCTCATTTCTTCCTTTTTTTCTCCCATTCCCACAAATCTCTCCTCTCTCTTCCACCCATTGTTATCTCTGACGCGTATTCACCGACACAACGAAAAATGGCTAACGGAGCCGGTAGATTGGATCTGGACGGTAAACCGATTAAGCCGATTACGATATGCATGATCGGCGCCGGAGGTTTCATTGGCTCTCATCTCTGCGAGAAGCTAATGACGGAGACTCCTCACAAGGTGCTTGCGCTCGATGTCTACAATGATAAGATCAAGCACTTGCTTGAGCCTGATACCGTTCAATGGGCTGGTCGGATCCAGTTTCATCGTATCAACATTAAGCATGATTCTAGACTCGAAGGACTGATCAAGATGGCAGATCTGGTAATTTCTTCTTCGTCTCTTCTTATGTGAATAATGTTGAATGTGAAGACTCAGATCTGATTCGTTGTGGGAAATTGAATTTTGAATTGTGGATGTTTTTGTTTAATCTGTTGTTTTGGTTTTGCAGACGATAAATCTAGCTGCGATCTGTACTCCAGCGGATTACAATACGCGTCCTCTTGACACTATCTACAGCAATTTTATTGATGCTCTCCCAGTGGTATGCATATTCTTTGGTGTTCTTGTCCATTCTTTTGCAATTTTCTAAGTTTGAGGAATAATTTTATGCGATTTGGATTATTATTAGTTGTGACATTGAGTGATCATTGGTTTTGGCATGTAGGTTAAGTACTGCTCTGAGAATAACAAGCGTCTGATTCACTTTTCCACTTGTGAAGTCTATGGAAAAACCATAGGAAGCTTTCTTCCGAAGGATCATCCTCTGCGTCAGGTCTCTCTTTTTCTCCTTTTTCACTCTGATCATGTCATTTTTGTCTTATGCATCGCTTTCTGCTGAATGTCGTTGTCAAAAGGATCAGGAAACTATGTTTTTAATGTACATTGGCACACTAGCTTAAGATTGATACGGAAATTTATATACTATTGCTGTTATTGTTGTTGTTGTATTAAGTCTTCTTTTCTGATCTAAAGAGTAATGTAAACTTGTTATAAGCCTATCACTATCCACTTTAATACTACATGAGAGTCTTTGTTTTGTTTTTTTTGCCTAGCTTTTTTTGTCAAGTAGAGATTAGTTCGTGTCCTGTGGTTCTTATTACTACTTTTGTCTCTGTGTTTGTTATCTCTTCACTATTCACAAATGATGCTTGTCTTGTTTTCTACAGGATCCTGAATTTTATGTACTCAAAGAAGATATATCCCCTTGCATTTTTGGTTCTATTGAGAAGCAGAGGTGGTCATATGCATGTGCAAAGCAACTTATTGAGAGACTTGTTTATGGTATGTAGTTTTCTTACTCGATAAGAAAATTTGATGTTTCTAGACACAAAAAGTTTCTCACGTCACTTGTTTGTGGTTGCAGCTGAGGGTGCTGAGAATGGACTCGAGTTCACCATTGTAAGACCATTCAACTGGATTGGACCTAGGATGGATTTCATCCCTGGCATTGATGGTCCTAGCGAGGGTGTCCCTCGGGTCCTAGCGTGCTTTAGTAACGTAAGTATACAAGCTCAGTCCAATGACCTGAGTTCTTCTCGTGGCTGAAGCTTAATTTTTTTAACTTTTTTGGGGGTATTTTCAGAACCTTCTGCGACGGGAGCCTCTCAAGCTTGTGGATGGTGGAGAATCACAGAGAACCTTCATCTACATCAAAGATGCTATTGAAGCTGTCCTTTTGATGATTGTGAGTTTCACTAATTGCTTATCCCTGGTGATATTTCGTTTGTTGTTATGTTATCAAAGTAGTTGCATCTGAATTTGTTTGCGGAATTTTTAACAGGAAAACCCAGAGAGAGCCAATGGGCATATCTTCAATGTAGGCAACCCAAACAATGAAGTGACAGTGAGACAACTTGCTGAAATGATGACTGAGGTGAGAAAAATTGGTCACAGATAAGAATCCAAATTGATTTTCGATAAACTATCATAGCACACACTCAAATGTTGCAAAACAAAAAATGGACAGGTCTATGCAAAAGTGAGTGGAGAGACAGCCATCGAGAGCCCAACAATCGACGTGAGCTCCAAAGAATTTTATGGAGAAGGTTATGATGACAGCGACAAGAGAATCCCAGACATGACCATCATCAACCGTCAACTTGGTAACTTCCTCTTTTCTTGTCTGATTAGTCTTTTCAACAGCCCCAATGGTTTTCTAATAGATACTTGGTGTGGACATTAATTAGGATGGAACCCGAAGACTTCGCTTTGGGACTTGCTTGAGTCGACCTTAACATACCAGCACACGACATATGCGGAAGCCATTAAGAAGGCCACTTCAAAACCAGTCGCATCTTAGAGGTCGTCTCTCTTACAAACACCTCAAATCATGTGGTGGCTACGATTCCATTCTTTTTGTTTTTTTTTAATTCTCCCAACAGAAACCTTTTCTTCCCTTATGTTAGGCAATTTCTAAGCAAATGACATATCACGGTGGTTGATTCTAGTTTACGTTTTCCTTGTTATATAGTATTACTGTTAATGTTTTGTGAATTCGTTTGTTGAAGCTTTTTATCTTGTATTTGTCCGAAACTAAAAAGGGAATGGTTTGTGCAAACTATAACATTGGGGCTTTCTTTATTTGTTACATATATTTTTGGCGGATTCCACACTTTACTTCTTCTATATCTGTCTAATTGGAATAAGCGAGTTCGTTTGGCTTTTGCTTGTGTTGCTGGTTTTGTGAATATATACCTTCCTTATTTGGAAATGCCTAGGGTCTATAAACAAATTTTAGAACATTGTACTCATAGCAAACGGTGAATTAGCTATCATATATTAAAAACATCCAAAAAAAGATGAAAAGATCGCCGACCAAAACATAATAAGATTAGATTACAAGATCAAAGAACATGAGCGATGTCATATACAGTATATTTTACTCTCTGCTAAACGACAAACAAAGCAGTACGCTGAAAATGGAATTATGGGAAATTAAGATTTTTATATAGAAAAGAACAATAAACGGGATTAGTAGTAATAGTAAACCAATCGAGGACAGAGGAAAAATAAAAATAGAGATGTTTCAAGAAAAAAGAGAAAGAAGCGAAACAAACTTGGCCTTTGTAAAAAACTCAAGACAATTCAATCGTACACTTGGCCACTCATCGGGAAATAATACAAAGGCACAAATTCTGACACACACCTGTTTTTCATCTCTCGCCTTTCTCTTTTTGCTATATTTTAGAGGACTACAGAACAAACAATGAACATTTTCTTCTTTAAAAAAAATAAAAAAAATTTCGAAGCACACCAAAAATACTTCACAAACACATGCACAAAAGGGGTCGCTACCGAGCTGACGCAGCGGCGGCAGTAGTACATAATATGCACCGTAAACGCGACCGCCCAGGTCTGTCTCCGTCACCACCCTCATCTTCTTCCTCATCCTCTTCCTCCTCATCCACACCATTATCGTAGCTGTATTCATACCCCGAAGAACCTTTCGTTGTCTTGTTATTGCTGTTACTGAAGGCAGCATCCATGAGGCACGTCTCGTGGTAAGCATGGCAGCAGAAGAAGACCACTACGGTGTCCCCTCTTATCGAGACCGGGTCGAAGCACATACAACACCGTGTGTCCCCCCGTGTCTTCGACTTCACCTCTGTCACCTTTATGCTCAAAGATTTATCTACTACCATTCTCTGCGAGAATGAGCGATTATTGTCTTCTCTCTTCGCACGGGAATCGTCGTCTTCATGGCTTAGGCAGACCCCGCGCCTAGCCTCGTTGAAGCACTTGACGAGAAGATTAACAATATCCGTCTGCACAACAATCCCCACACATCAACTTCCCTGGAGTCTGTTCCAGATATATATTTATCAGAGGGAAATTGGTGACATTAAATATATACCTTGAGAATGTCATTGCAACCGTGTCTAAGAGATGTCTCAGTTCTGTAATCTGTAACGATTTTGACCAATCGATCCCTTAATCTGAAAGCAGAGGAAACAATGAAGAGAACATTATTTTGACGGAAGAGTTCAGGAAGCATATGATTCTGCGAATGGTCTGTGTGCAAACATAGCTTTGGGTAAACCAAAAGGTTTGGCATCACATAGAAGAGGGTCGATGTTTATTTAAGTAAGAACACGTGATTGGACAAACTCATAAATAGAGTAACAACAATGAGGGGTAATAGTTAAAACTGGTTTGGCATCACATAGAAGAGGGTCGATGTTTATTTAAGTAAGAACACGTGATTGGACGAACTCATAAATAGAGTAACAACAATGAGGGGTAATAGTTAAAACTAACCGAGGTATTTCCAAGCCATTTGGGACCATATTTACAATGTAAAGAGGGTCGAGATTGCCAACTGTGTGCTCCAACAGCAAGCCCACCTAAAATTGGTGGAAAGGAACAGAAGATTAAGGAAACAGTACTACATGGACACAAATTTCGCAGAATCAAGGCTGGTTTGTGTTGTGATTCGCATCACAAAAACAGTTTTTACCATCTCAGGCTTGTTTAGACATTGTTTAATCAGCTCTTCCCATAGATCATCATCGTGCTGCATGGACACAAATTCCACAGCCTGCAGAAGATCGATCAAATTTAACTACCATCGCTTGTTTTATTTATAACCAGTCAGAAAGACATCAATTATATTGTACAAGGATTGTGGAAAGAAGAGCAGTTACTGAACACAGAGTACTAAGACAATTACCTC